TCTTTAGGCATTTATGTGACTCGTAGTTTCCCAAAGCATGTGCAGTCTTTGAGTCCTGGGTCTCTCTGACTTATTCTTGCATATAGCTTTCTGCAAAGCACACTTCTGGCTCTCTAGTAGGCTAGGGACACATATGAACCACCATGCTCGGACCTCTCTGTTAGGAACATACTGTGCATTTTCAATTCCAAGATTTGCTCCTTCAAGTTCCTAATATGTGCTATTGTAGCAGATATTGAACTTAGAGAAGGCAGGAGTAGATTAAATGTAGATTCCTTTCCTAATGTTTTTTTCCAACCCTCGCTGGTCTTAGAATCAGCAAGCTCATGTGTGTTATTTTCTCTGGTTCTTAACTCTATGCTGGCCCAACCCTCCCTCTAGTGGTAGTTTGTTTAATCTGTCCAGAGTTACCTAAAAGATTATGCTTTAGGCCAGTGGTGTTAATAAGTCTGATTGCTTTTCACAATAAATATATTTTATGTGTCAAGATCATTCACACATACATGTTACTAAAATAAAAATGTTACCATACAGTATTTACCCTAGCTTTCGCAATATATCGTGGTATTTTCTATTTTCCTTTCATTTAAAATATTATTTTATCACCCACTAAATTAATGTAGCAATTTTAACCACCGGTAAGTTGTAATTCACACTTTGAAAGACAATGTTTTAGACTAATATTAAAAATGTATTAACCTTGTGGACTATTAATAGGTGTTTCTCTCAAATAGAGAGACACATTAAAATCACATTAAAATCTCCTGAGACCACATGCCTGATGGTCTGCAAACTCTACTACTTTATTTTTATAACACGCTGCACACAAAATATGTGCCGTGAAGAAACCTGCCTAACTTTGCATAGCTTACTGTTTCCTGAATTTAACCATGGAAGGAATATTTTTAAAACATACCAATAAAACAAAATTAAAGAAATCTATGAGCTCATGAAATAATTATTCCAAGGAATGAGATTCTGGAGAATTCTGCTATAGATGTGAGAAGGAAATCTATAAATAAATCCAAATACCAAATGTGCACATCAGTTGTGGCAGAGATCTATGCAGTTGGTAGGCAACGGCCTCCCAGGAGTGGAGAAACCTAGCGGGTGACAACTGGATCATGGTAATTGCATCGTGAAGGCAACACTCTTGTGAATAGATGAGCGATGTCTCAAGAGACCCAGTGAGTTCTTCTCAAAAGAGGATAGTTCTCCTCAAAAGAGGATACTTCTCCCAAGAGCAGGTTGCCATAAAAGAAAGAGAGCAGCAGTCTCTCTTTCCCCATGCTCCTGCCATCCCTTCTGCTTTTATCAGCTATTGGCCATGCTGTAGGTCAGCCTGAAGCCTGGCCTATGCCTTCAAACCTTCCAGTCTCCAGAACTGTGAGTTAATAAACCCCTATCTCTTGGAACCAGCAGTTAGCGTAATGGCTATGTCACTGGACTCCCATATAGTCAACCACGGTTCGTGTTCTGGACCCAGTGGCTTAAAACTCACGCTGGGCGCGTGTGTGTGCGTGCCCAAGATCCCGAGAGGAGAATGGAGGAGAAGGGATTGCGGCGTGGCCATCCCCCCTGGGGAGTGATTTCTCGCTTTCTGTCCGTCTCTCTCTGTCTGTCTGGCAAGCACACGCACCCTATAGCAAAAACCTCTCAATATAAATAAATAAATAAATAAATAAACCCCTATCTCTTTATAAACCACCTACCCTCATGTATTTCTGTTCAGTGGTGTTAATAAGTCTGATTGCTTTTCACAATAAATATATTTTATGTGTCAAGATCATTCACACATACATGTTACTAAAATAAAAATGTTACCATACAGTATTTACCCTAGCTTTCGCAATATATCGTGGTATTTTCTATTTTCCTTTCATTTAAAATATTATTTTATCACCCACTAAATTAATGTAGCAATTTTAACCACCAGTAAGTTGTAATTCACACTTTGAAAGACAATGTTTTAGACTAATATTAAAAATGTATTAACCTTGTGGACTATTAATAGGTGTTTCTCTCAAATAGAGAGACACATTAAAATCACATTAAAATCTCCTGAGACCACATGCCTGATGGTCTGCAAACTCTACTACTTTATTTTTATAACACGCTGCACACAAAATATGTGCCGTGAAGAAACCTGCCTAACTTTGCATAGCTTACTGTTTCCTGAATTTAACCATGGAAGGAATATTTTTAAAACATACCAATAAAACAAAATTAAAGAAATCTATGAGCTCATGAAATAATTATTCCAAGGAATGAGATTCTGGAGAATTCTGCTATAGATGTGAGAAGGAAATCTATAAATAAATCCAAATACCAAATGTGCACATCAGTTGTGGCAGAGATCTATGCAGTTGGTAGGCAACGGCCTCCCAGGAGTGGAGAAACCTAGCGGGTGACAACTGGATCATGGTAATTGCATCGTGAAGGCAACACTCTTGTGAATAGATGAGCGATGTCTCAAGAGACCCAGTGAGTTCTTCTCAAAAGAGGATAGTTCTCCTCAAAAGAGGATACTTCTCCCAAGAGCAGGTTGCCATAAAAGAAAGAGAGCAGCAGTCTCTCTTTCCCCATGCTCCTGCCATCCCTTCTGCTTTTATCAGCTATTGGCCATGCTGTAGGTCAGCCTGAAGCCTGGCCTATGCCTTCAAACCTTCCAGTCTCCAGAACTGTGAGTTAATAAACCCCTATCTCTTGGAACCAGCAGTTAGCGTAATGGCTATGTCACTGGACTCCCATATAGTCAACCACGGTTCGTGTTCTGGACCCAGTGGCTTAAAACTCACGCTGGGCGCGTGTGTGTGCGTGCCCAAGATCCCGAGAGGAGAATGGAGGAGAAGGGATTGCGGCGTGGCCATCCCCCCTGGGGAGTGATTTCTCGCTTTCTGTCCGTCTCTCTCTGTCTGTCTGGCAAGCACACGCACCCTATAGCAAAAACCTCTCAATATAAATAAATAAATAAATAAATAAACCCCTATCTCTTTATAAACCACCTACCCTCATGTATTTCTGTTAGCAATGTAAAAACGACTAAGACACAATCCTCAAATGTTTTCTGGTGGTTGATTTGAGAATAGAACTGTGATTCAACTTTGGTCAAAGAGAGGTAAGATTATATCTACTAGAAGGTGATGAGAAATTATTTCTCTCTAGTAATAAAGAGTGTATGAAGAGGAAATCTTTTTTCTCCTCTTCTCTTCTTTACTGCCTTAGAAACCCTCATGTGAAGATATGATGCCTAGGTTGTTGTAGCAATTTTGAATCAGTGAGAAAAAGGCCAAGATAATCATGGAGTGGTCAACCTCAATCCCTGACATCCCTGAGCTTCTGATGACCCTGGAGAAACCTATTTCCAAAATTCTTAAGTGCATCAGTAAATCTCTGTTATTTAGACTTATAATGGTAGGGTATTCTGTTACAGCCAAAAACATCATAATTGATACAATAAAGAGAAGGGGTAGGGGAAAGAAAAGTGCATCGGTGTTTCAAACCAGCAAAGCAATTGAAGGTGTTAGCACTGAAAGTAAGCGTATAAAAATAAGATTGCAATTTAAAATCCAATATCAGAACCAATAACTGGAAAAGCATAGGTTACTATTCGTGGTCATGACATCAGTAATCCTGGAAGACTGGGCTGAGTCGTTAGTCCATATACACAAATATACCTTATTTCCTTGGAGGATTACTGCTGCTCAAGTCACTGACTCCATGTTCCCACATCTTTTTTATTTATTATTATTATTTTTCTGATTCGAGGGCAATGAATGATCAGCAAAGACATCTTTTATAAATGGTATAGAGTACCCATGCTATCTAAAACTTCCCCTTTTTGTCTAGTGACTGTCTGAGGGGTTGACTCTCATAGGGAATTTTTCAAGTTTAATTTAAGAAAACATAGTTGATCTTTTAGAAGTTAAAATATTTTCCTTTTTCTTTTTTTTTGGTATTTCTATAAAATATAGTGATAGGAGATATGCCTTCTTCTCATACTTTCAAATACATGCATTCAATCCTTTTTACTGATGTAAAAGACTGAAGAGAACTACTAAAAAAAAAAAATAAAGAAAAACATGTTTTGTTCCTGTGATGAATAGTAGAAGGAAGAAGCATTGAACACCGCTAAATTATGGAAACTACCTGGGGCTGTTGTAACTGGCATTGCATTCATTTCTTTATTAGGATATACCATAGATCTATCTTCATTAGATTGATCCTCCCAAGAACGGAGAACATGATCACCCACACAACCTAGAGCTGTGGAAGGACTATTAGTGTATATCTTTGTAAAATACACCTGTATATGAGGCATAAGAGGGTTTAGACTTTTCAGTGACCCACCTTAAAACCAATGAAGAACTTGAAGGGCAAGAATCTAGAAAACATTGCTGTTGTTTTTATTATTGTATAAATCCCAAACAGGCTTTATTCATTTTTTAAAATGCAAAGGACTGAAAAATTCTTTATTCTTCTAGAGGAAATTAAGAAATACTTGAAAGTCCTACTATAATTTTCTCATTTATTTATTTTTTAATTTGCCAGAGGGCAGTGATCTTTAGGTTAGCATTATAACCAAAAGTCTAAGTAATTCATTTTTTTTTTTTACCGTATTTTACAAAAGTCACTATGAAGGTGGATTGCAAACTAAAGAAAAAGAAATGATCCTTCAAGAACACAATTTGAGGATTATCATTTTAAATAAGATCAATCTCCCCTAAGGCTGGTTGTGTCACACAAACAAGGGGATGTGTAAGCAGTAGGTGGAATGCAGTATCTTTAGCTGTCCAAATCAAATCCTACATGAGCACGATTCGGCCTCTCATCACAATATACTGATGGGGATATGTATTTAGCCATTGCACCTTAGAACTGGGTGAGACTGGGTAAAGGCAAGACCCTCAGCAGGGTCTTGTCACACTGGGATGCCTTGCCCAAACACTTCCCTCTCCTGCACAGGAACTACTATTAGAATAGAGCACAAAGCATTCCGGCATTTACTAATATTTTTATTTACTATTTTCTGAGACCCCAGGCCATGGAACATACAAAAGAGCCTGAAACAAAGGTAAAGGAAAGGAAGATTACAATGAGGTAGTCTCATGTGGGAATGTGGGGAAAAATATTGCAGTCCTGGGTGAGTCTTCACATTTGGTTCAAGTCCATGATTAGTTGCATCCTAAACTCAGACTGAGAGGTTCCAATCTTTCCTAGTCCTTGAACTTGCAGATATAGGGTAATTTCACATTGCAGTTAACATCTTTCCATCTCAAAAATCCTGAAAAGACAGAGGAGATAAAGCAAATGGGGGTAGAGAAGGTGTAGACTAAATGAAGAAGTATTTCAGATTCTGGCCTAGTATTCATAGCCTCTGTGTCTTCACCAGTATGCCACTCCAAAGGAAGAGACTCAAAGAAAGCAGAGATGAGAGGAGATAAGGGAAGACAAATCAACATTTCATTTCTAGTATAAGAGGATTCCCCAAAGATCAGGGCCAGGAATGGATAAAGAAGGGTAGAAAAGACGGGGCAGACATGGTTTCTCTGTTACTTACGTGAAGTTTCCGATAGGGTCCCACAGTATCCGGGGTTTGGTACACTAGTAGGATTTCTCTCCCAGGCAAGATAATTCAGCACATCACCATTGCTCCACTCCCATCCGTCTCCATTGGGCTCATAGCCCTGCAGAGTAGAGGATGCAGCCAACTGAAGGGATGGCCCCTGGGGCTCTCCTCAGAAGACCCCATCCCCAGCATACTGGAAGTTTGTCTTCTCTTCCAAATGCTGCCCCAGGGCACTCTCCCCTGGGAAGATCTCCTTAACTCCTCACTTCTATTGGCAAATCCCAGGCAATAATCACACCACTTTTGGAACCACTGAAAGTTACATGCTGAATAGTTTGTGGGGCATTTGTGATTAGTCACTGAACCTCTAAGACAATAGTTTTCCTATAGGACTCAAAAGTGAATCTAATCTTCATTTATGATTCCCACAGAATAGGATGTACAGTTTTTATAAAGCTCAGATAACTGAATACAAAGACTTCAAGTGAGGCTTATATAGAAAGCTTGACAAGAGATGCTAATTTCATCTGAAAACTAGGGGCAGCCAAAGAACTGAGCTCATCAACTGGCTTAAATCATGTCCTTTTCTCTCAAATGCCTCCCAGACTGTAAGCTCTAGGATTCCCTAAAGTATTTCTTTCTGGGCAAGGACAGAGTGCATAGAGTTGGTGTGGGTGATAGCTGTACTGAGAGATATAACAGAGGAGAGGATATAACTGTACCTCTGTGGGGTCATGGAGCCCAATCCAGATGTTTGAGTAGCTGTTTGTGATGCTCTTGACCAGGGAGGACAGGAAAGATCCCTCAGCCCCATTGAGCACAGATACGAGGTGTCCCGAGGGCCGCTTCTGGCAGGCCATCTGTGTAGAGAAGGGGGAGAATGAAAAAGAACTTCAGAACTCACTGGGGGAAGAACAGGGCAGAAATAGATGAGAGGGGGATTGTGTGAAAGATAAGGGTGTTTATTCTCATTCCTAAAGAACTCTCAAGAGTCGATGGAGACCCTCTCACTCTCAGAACCCCATGTATATCCCCTTATCACCACAACCCCACACCTAATCACTCACATTTGCATCAAACCAGGTTTTTGGTATCGTAAACAAGGCATAGCAGTGGGAGGCATAGGACACTGAGCCTTTGGGACAGCTGGTCCTTGGAGAAGACTGTTTGTTCTGGGGTTCTTCACCTAGGGTAGAAGGAGATAAAGGAAAAAAATAGGGTAAAATAAAAAGTAAGCATCGGGATGAGAAGTTGTGTTTGGCTAACAACTGTGAGGTAAGTCCTCAGAAAGTAAGACCACATCCTTGACTACCTTCCTATGTTACTATCAAGGATTCTTGATCTTAAAATAGCCCCAGTAAGTGAGAAGCATCTCTCTCTTATTTTTTCTCCTTTCCTCTTATTCAACAACCCTACACTTCTCATACTCTGTGCACTGGTTCCTCAAATCATTCTATCTTCTTATTATCTAATTATGGATCCTTCACAACCTTTACCTCTGCAACTCACCAACATAAATTAGAATCCATTGAAAAATGAGAAACCACCTCTTTCCATTGTTAATTGGTCACTGAGGTGCCTCCCACCACTAGTGACCCTGAAGGAAGGGAGAAAGAGTGATAGAGGAATGGTAGGCTCTGTCACAGTGTGGGGCACTCCTCACCATTCCCACATGTGCACACAGGAAACTTCCTTCTCCTCTGGGCTCTGACCATTCTCAGGGAACCCAGTACTAGAGGCAGAGGCAACTCACCTTGGACCTGAGACAGGAGCATCAGGCAGGAGATCAGCATCCAGGACACGCTGGGGAGGGCCGTTGGGGACAGCATTGTGCCTGTGACCTGAAGAGGCAATCGGAAGGGAAGTATGGTCTGAGGGAGAATATGCAGAGACCCCACTGCCTCTAATCTTTTCTTCTATGTGCTCTTCTAGGAATAAACTGTTCTTGGTCACAGCCATTCCTCTCTATAGTTCTGGAGTGGACCGGGGAATCTGCACAACCTACTGCCTGACTTCTCATGGAAGCCTTTGCTGTGTGTGCTCTCCAAGCACAGGAACCCTCCTAAACTTTCTCCTGTAATATGTGAGATAAAATCCCTGCCAGGGTATCCTCTTTTCTGAGCTCCCACTTACCAATCTTGCAGGGATCTGGGATGGTTTGTCTGGGCAGGAAAGATTGGCCTTTTATAGGGGGATCTGAGGACGGGACACTAAAATGAATAATAGGACCTTGTAGGAAGAACAGGGCAGAAATAGATGAGAGGGGGATTGTGTGAAAGATAAGGGTGTTTATTCTCATTCCTAAAGAACTCTCAAGAGTCGATGGAGACCCTCTCACTCTCAGAACCCCATGTATATCCCCTTATCACCACAACCCCACACCTAATCACTCACATTTGCATCAAACCAGGTTTTTGGTATCGTAAACAAGGCATAGCAGTGGGAGGCATAGGACACTGAGCCTTTGGGACAGCTGGTCCTTGGAGAAGACTGTTTGTTCTGGGGTTCTTCACCTAGGGTAGAAGGAGATAAAGGAAAAAAATAGGGTAAAATAAAAAGTAAGCATCGGGATGAGAAGTTGTGTTTGGCTAACAACTGTGAGGTAAGTCCTCAGAAAGTAAGACCACATCCTTGACTACCTTCCTATGTTACTATCAAGGATTCTTGATCTTAAAATAGCCCCAGTAAGTGAGAAGCATCTCTCTCTTATTTTTTCTCCTTTCCTCTTATTCAACAACCCTACACTTCTCATACTCTGTGCACTGGTTCCTCAAATCATTCTATCTTCTTATTATCTAATTATGGATCCTTCACAACCTTTACCTCTGCAACTCACCAACATAAATTAGAATCCATTGAAAAATGAGAAACCACCTCTTTCCATTGTTAATTGGTCACTGAGGTGCCTCCCACCACTAGTGACCCTGAAGGAAGGGAGAAAGAGTGATAGAGGAATGGTAGGCTCTGTCACAGTGTGGGGCACTCCTCACCATTCCCACATGTGCACACAGGAAACTTCCTTCTCCTCTGGGCTCTGACCATTCTCAGGGAACCCAGTACTAGAGGCAGAGGCAACTCACCTTGGACCTGAGACAGGAGCATCAGGCAGGAGATCAGCATCCAGGACACACTGGGGAGGGCCGTTGGGGACAGCATTGTGCCTGTGACCTGAAGAGGCAATCGGAAGGGAAGTATGGTCTGAGGGAGAATATGCAGAGACCCCACTGCCTCTAATCTTTTCTTCTATGTGCTCTTCTAGGAATAAACTGTTCTTGGTCACAGCCATTCCTCTCTATAGTTCTGGAGTGGACCGGGGAATCTGCACAACCTACTGCCTGACTTCTCATGGAAGCCTTTGCTGTGTGTGCTCTCCAAGCACAGGAACCCTCCTAAACTTTCTCCTGTAATATGTGAGATAAAATCCCTGCCAGGGTATCCTCTTTTCTGAGCTCCCACTTACCAATCTTGCAGGGATCTGGGATGGTTTGTCTGGGCAGGAAAGATTGGCCTTTTATAGGGGGATCTGAGGACGGGACACTAAAATGAATAATAGGACCTTGTAGGCAGGCCAGGGGTCATTGGAAGGTCTTGGCATGTATTCAAGGAGATTCTCGTCAATAAGAGCAGACTCTTCCTAGCAAAGGCTGGGAGTTGCCTGATGTTGCCTCTTTCCTGCCAGTAGGAAGCAGTTTCAAGAAACACGTGAAGTTTGTACTTTGACCATCCTTTCCCAGGTGCTCTGTTCTAAGGCATGTAAGGATTTGAAGGCAGCCTTAAGGGATAAATTATAATCTTAGGTAGATTGGACAGTTAAAGAAAATATGATTCATTCTTCCTTTTGCTTAACTTATTAAAACTCAGTTCTTAGGCATACCTATAATCTATTCTTCATATCTTTTCTAAGAAGATTTCAAACAAACTAATAAGTAAAAATTGGATGGGTTTTTGAATTGGAAGTATTGGTGAAGTCAGTGTGTATTATTTGAGGGAAAAAGAAAAGAAAGCATTGCAACTAAGAGAAGGAGCAATGGTTCAAATTGCTGCTACAACATTACAACAAGATGTAAGGGAAGCTTGTTGTAACCTTATGAGTCAGTACACAAACGGTGGTCTTGAGGATCAACAGCTGATAGACTTGCCTTCCAGCTATCTCTGTGTGGGAATACTGAGCAGTACTTCAGTGCATTGTAATTTAGAGCTGGCAGTTTGATACCTCAGCCAAGTATTCTCAGAGTGTGACTTGTATACCCATGGGGAGTCTTCAAGACCCTTTTAGAGCAGCTAGGAATTTGTAATATTTATAATTTCACTATAATAGTATTTGTCATTTAAACTGTGTTGAGATCTGCATTAATGGGGTAAAAGAAATGATTGCTAGATGTTCTGATGACATAACATTATTCAAATCCAGGCCCTAGCAATTTGGGCACATTTGTGTGCCTGCCCCAAAATTCCAACAAGATGGAACAATGGAGGAAAAAGGATTGTGGTCTGACCATGTCCCATTGAGGGATGTTTTCTCTGTCCTTCTTTCTCTTTATTTCTCTCTGCTGCTCTCTGGAAAATACATGTGCCCTCGGGCAAATAAAATAAAATTCAGCGTAATGGAAGTAAAGACAGAGAGATAGATGAAACAAGTGAGGCTGAGACAATGATTATTGCTGCTTGGTGACAGACATGAATTGATTCAATTGATTCACAGTATTACTTTCCTTTGGATTAGCTTGTTTTTTTGTCAAAAAATATTGGGAAAAAATGTTTTGGGAAAAATAAAAATTATGGGTCAATATGAGAAATTTGAAGGGCAATTTGACTATTTTTAAATTTGAAGGGCAATTTGACTAATTTTTAATCTACAAAATGTAGATTAAAAATTCTGGAAAAAAGTGCTAAACAAATGAATTTCAGCAGTGTTTATATTAAATAAAGAGAAAAATAGTCTCAGAACATAAAAATGATGTATAAGGAATCATTCTTATAATTTACATTTGGAAATTAGAAGAAGAAAAAAAAATCATCTTAACAGGAAAATAGAATATTTACATTTGGAAATTAGAAGAAGAAAAAAATCGTCTTAACAGGAAAAAAGAACCAATTAAGTAAAATTTAATATGTATTAATGAGTGATAAAGTTAACAAACAAAAGATAGAAATATTTTTAACATGATTGAAAAAAAACTGTAGCTAGCTATACAAAGTAAGGTATTAAAAACATTTCCTTAAAACTCAAAATATAAGAGTATCCCACTCTAATTAATTTCATTCAATGGAAAAAAAAAAACAAAAAACAAACACATTATACAAAGTACACTTAGAAAAGAGAAGGACAGAGACCAGCAAAGGGAAAAATGGTTATGTCACTGGACTCCCATATGGCTAACCATTGTTCGAGTCCCAGGTCTGGCAGCTTGAAACTCAGGTTGGGCATGTGTGAGTGTGCTCAAAATCCTGAGAGGAGAATGGAGGAGACAGGATTGTGGCATGGCCCTCCTCCCTGGGGGACTGATTTCTCACTTTCTGTCTCTTTGTCTCTGAGGAAAGCACAGACGCCCTATAGTGAATATCTCTCCAACAACAACAAAAAACAAAACAAAACAAAACAAAAAAACAAAAAAAAGGAGAAAAGAAAAAAGAAAAAAGAATAAAAACAGAAAAGAGATCATTTTAAAAAGGAAACAGAGTAAATGAAATTGTCATTATGTGCGTGCGCTCGCCAGACAGAGAGAGACAGAGAGACAGAAAGCGAGAAATCACTCCCCAGGGGGGATGGCCACGCTGAAATCCCTTCTCCTCCATTCTCCTCTCAGGATGTTGGGCATGCACGCACACACGCCCGGCATGAGTTTTAAGCCACCAGGCCCAGGAACTCAAACTGCGGTTGACTACATGGGAGTCCAGTGACATAGCCATTACGCTAGCTAACTGCTGGTCCCGAAATTGTCACTGTTTATATGACATGTTGTCCCCATAAAAAGCCCAGAAGAATCCCCATACTAATTGTTAGACCTAATGGGAGAACTTAATAAGCAAAAAGAACATGAGATCAACCTATAAGTTCCTATTAAGTACTCTTATTTCAGTAACAGTGATAAAGATAAAAGTGGTATAGGGGCCAGCAAGTGGCACAGTGGTTAAGGTACTGGATTCCCACATGGGTGATTACGGTTCAAGACCAGGATCTAGCAGATTGAAATTCATGCTGGGAAACACGTTATACAAAGTACACTTAGAAAAGAGAAGGACAGGGACCAGCAAAGGGAAAAATGATTATGTCACTGGACTCCCATATGGCTAACCATTGTTCGAGTCCCAGATCTGGCAGCTTGAAACTCAGGTTGGGCATGTGTGAGTGTGCTCAAAATCCTGAGAGGAGAATGGAGGAGATAGGATTGTGGCATGGCCCTCCTCCCTGGGGGACTGATTTCTCACTTTCTGTCTCTTTGTCTCTGAGGAAAGCACAGACGCCCTATAGTGAATATCTCTCCAACAACAACAAAAAACAAAACAAAACAAAACAAAAAAACAAAAAAAAGGAGAAAAGAAAAAAGAAAAAAGAATAAAAACAGAAAAGAGATCATTTTAAAAAGGAAACAGAGTAAATGAAATTGTCATTATGTTTTGTTTTGTTTTGTTTTTTTGGAGAGGTTTTGTTTTGCTATGTGGCATGTGCGCTCGCCAGACAGAGACAGAGAGACAGAAAGCGAGAAAGCACTCCCCAGGGGGGATGGCCACGCTGAAATCCCTTCTCCTCCGTTCTCTTCTCGGGATGTTGGGCAGGCACGCACACACGCCTGGCGTGAGTTTTAAGGCACCAGGCCCGGGAACTCAAACCGCGGTCTACTACATGGGAGTCCAGTGACATAGCCAATACGCTAACTGCTGGTCCCGAAATTGTCACTGTTTATATGACATGTTGTCCCCATAAAAAGCCCAGAAGAATCTCCATACTAATTGTTAGACCTAATGGGAGAACTTAATAAGCAAAAAGAACATGAGATCAACCTATAAGTTCCTATTAAGTACACTTATTTCAGTAACAGTGATAAAGATAAAAATGGTATAGGGGCCAGCAAGTGGCACAGTGGTTAAGGTACTGGACTCCCACATGGGTGATTATGGTTCAAGACCAGGATCTAGCAGGTTGAGATTCATGCTGGGCATGTGCCCCAAATCCTGAGAGAATGGAGGAGAAGAGATTGTGGCATGATCATCACCCTCTTGCTCTCTCTCCAGTGAGTGCTCATGTCATATAGCAAAAAAAAAAAAACGCTCTAAAAAAAGGTATGAAAAGAATACTATTTTTAATAAGAAGAAAAATGTAAAGTAGTTGACAAAAAATAATCAGTATTTTATAACATTTTTTAGACTTACGTATAAGAAAAATCTATTACATTGACATAGAGAGATGCTATACTCTGGAGAGTATATATATAGAATAATATGTAGAAGAATAATAAAAATAACAGCATGGTTTTTTATATTAATTTGAGATTTTAGTTTAGAAAAAAATGGAAACAAAATAAGTAAACAAGAATAGTTAACACATTTCTGAAGAAAAACAAAGTAACATGTTGTGTTCATGACTTTTTACTTACAAAGTAGTGCTTAAGATACCCAACTTAAGCAGTGTAACAGAAGAAAAATCCCAGAAACAAAATTATGATATATAGAAATTGGATAGGTGGAGGAGTATGGCTGATCAGTAGAGAAAAAATAGATTAAGTGATTTGGA